ATATTTCTAAATTTTTAAAGGTATTATTATACCTATATAAATTATATATTTATAAGATATAAATATATTATAATAAGTACAGGGTTTCTAAAAACCAGAAATTGGCAGTCTATAGTTAAATTTAATTTTTGAAAAATATTAATTAGAAAGACCATATTACTTGAAATGAACTGGGTGTCTGGATATTCTCATAAATGTTTAAAACACGCTTATACTAATTTTGAATAGAGTAATCAATAATAGATATTAATTAACGATAACAACACAAGGTATATAAAAACATTTTTAGTCAATTCATGAAATTATTTTAAAAACAAATACGTACCTAAAAAGCTTACGATACAGTTTTTTCTTATTCTAGTTGATTATTTATTAAGTTTTTATTTTTGTATGTTAGTATTTCTAAAAATATTATATTACTTATATTATTATATACCGTTATTTATACTAAAAACAAATAATATAAACTATTCTTGTACTCAGGACCAGAGATTGCAATGTACTAATATTACAATATTAAATAGAAGTAGATCTAGGGGATAGGGATCTAGGTTCATATATTTTATTTTATTTTTTATAGGGAAAAAGAGATCAAAATCTTACAAAATATTTTTTTCTCATCATAGTAACGATTAATAACCAATTCTCATTGCTGTATAAATCAAATATGTATTAAAAAAATGTATTTTTTACAAGTTTTTATCTACGTTCAACGTAATAACCACAGAAAAAAAGGTATGTATACCTACCAAGAAAACATCTACTTATCAATATTTTATTTGAATTCGAAGCATGTTTAGGTCAAACCGAATAATTATAATAATTTTTAATAGTGACCAGCTGTACATGCTTATTATACTATACATATATGGTATGAGTACTGTACCTATCGGTGATATTGAATTGATTCCAGCTTATTATCTTAATATCTTTGAATTAAATCCTTATAGATTAGATGTCATAACTACCTATATAGCCAGTGACACAATTAGTTAATACTTACTTAATTATCAAATTATTATGACTCAAAAATGGAGTGTATGTTTAAATATCACCCGTAAAAAATTATTTCTACTCAAACAATTTTTAATATTTTGTTATATTTCCAAAAATAATAAGATAATTAGATATATTTGAAATTTCCAAATTATTAATTTCAATACCTATATCATGTAAAATTTTCAACAAATTTTAACTCTTTTTTGAAATATTTATAGGTATGATAAATTTTCATTTTTTTTTTTTTTTTTTTTTTTTAGTATTTTTGTAAAACTAAGTATTGATAAAAAAAAAATTATTCTCTAGGTATAAAAAGTACCTTTATTTATTATTATTTTTAATATTTTTTAATTAATTGACTCTTTATATTTATAATTACAATTAAAGTAAGGGACTCAACTCTAATAACCTAACAATATTGGTTGGACTCAACTCCGATAACCCAAAAATATTTGCGGAACTCAATTCAATGTTATCCGTACCTATAGCCTATAAGTAAACAGAGAACCCTAAGTAGATATATAATTAAAATTATATATTAATAATCCGGTATTCCGGTATAATATAATTGAAAATAACTTCTTTAGTAACTATTTTACTCAAAACACGCATAGTTTGGAATACGAAAATTCGTAAGTAAAATCATTTTTTAAGTATTTAAAAATTGTATTAATATTATTTATTAATAATAAATTAATTATTATGCTTCATAAGTTAATACTCTACATCGCACATTATTATTAGACCATGTATAATGAAACATTTGTATGATTATTATTTACAGCAATAACAATAATAACTATTATAAGTAAAATTACAATCTACAGTTAGTAGTATAAATTAATCATCGTGTATTCGTTTATGTGTCGTTGGTAATATCACATTACTACTATGACCTGACACGTTGATATGGTTGTGTAAGCACTCCGTACCGTAAGTCAAGAATTATTGAAATGTCGAGGGATCAATAATTATGTGTTCGTGAGGAATTATAAAAAATATCGACTTGTTAATTACTACGATTATGGTTCGAAATGAAACATTTAAAACGCCTAAGATTGTACATAAAAATCCCTCGTGGCAAAATATACTGGTAAGCCATCATTATTATAATTTTGGTCTCGTTTTGTCAATCTGCCAAAATCTATTTTTCCGCATAAAATACCACGACTGAATTGTACACGATTGTCATTAACTTATAACATATATAAATTTTTGTTTGTATACCTATATAGTTTAAACATGTGTCATCAACCAAAAAATGCAAAAATAAGTCACTTAAGAATAGTATTATATATATTTATTTACGATTTACCTACGATAAATTTCATAAACCACAAACCTATATAGGTATGCGCAATTTGCGTAAAATATATCGACCATCATTTTATTATTGTCGTTTAAAATGTCTTTCACTTTTAATCGTCACGAAATACTAAAATACCTCAAAATCGAATTTTATACTAAGAAATGTATGCCATCATATTGTATAATAATTTTTTTTTTAAATCCATATATCGAATTTTTATTTTGTAATGACCGCTTCTGTTTATTCATTACTACATTATATACGTATGTTATGAATATAGGAGATAGGTATCTCCTGCCCATTTCGCAGAGTACTTACAATATTCATAATAGCATATCGAAGTGAAATGATTTGTCCTTTGTCAAATAAAATTAATAAAATTATCATAGTAGAAATATAGTTATAATATACATACAATCGGCCTGATGGGTGTTCGATTTGTAATACTTTCTACTGCAATAATTTATTATCTGATAATATTTTAAAACTCAAAAATTGACTTTTTAACCAATAAAATTTTACTTTACAATATAAACGTGAGTAATAATATCGTAATAGAATGTAATAATATAACTTATAAAAAGTGTATCGGGTTGTTTCGTATAAACTTTGAAAATTATCACAAGTCAGGGAATGGAGTCGGAAGTGTATTTTTCACTTAATGTGATTTTGAAATTTTCTAAGCCTTAAAATCTAAGGTATAAAGGTATCTCAAGTATTTTATTCACAATTTTAACATATAAATTTAAGAATTTATGATTATTATTATTTTTTAATTTCTTAAATAATAAGTCTTTAGATTTTTATTTTAATCAAAAATTAATTCTTTCACGACAATTATCGTAGTATAATTATTATTAAAATAAATATAAACAATTAACAAGATAAATACCGTTTGAACGAAGACCTAAAACATTCTGTATAAACAAAAAACAGCTAATTCTTAAAATATGTATTATTTCAATCTCTTAACTTGATTAATGAATACTAATCAATAGAATAATAACAATAATAGCTTAACTATATAACTATAAACTTACATAATATATTATACAATTATTCAAAAACAAAAAAAAATTGTTTGATTTGTAATGTTATTTAAGTCAATATAGTATAAAGTAAATAAAGACAAAACAATTTTTGAATTTAAATTAAATGTTAAGTTGAATAGAACTTTTCTACGTTTTAATAAATTATAGTTATGTTTGATAATATTATTGACTTACAATGATTGAATTTTATTGTAAATTCACTGGTAAATAAATTGGTACACATAATATATTTTTATAAAAGCGTTTATTTAAGTAAACACGTCAGAAGCATTCTCCCGTGTAAATCAATAATAATAATGATTATTTACAATCTGGAGATTCAAACTAAAATGCGATGAAAAATGTCCGTGATGGTGACTAGTAGATAATATGATGATAATAATATTGCACTCTGACCTTATATAGGTTTCAAATTGTCAATATTATGATAGTCTTTCGTAATATTTTTTATAAACTAAACCATTATAATAAGTTAATCATAGTTGTTAATTAGATCTTAGATATATTAATATTTTGTCCGAAATAACGGATTAATAAATACGATCTATATTGCATAGACACTTGTAAAATACGTGATGTATAAATGAACGTTAAGAAAAAATAAACATCCCTCGGCCAAGTAAGGGCAACGACACTATAGTATACTCTACCGACGAAAATCATTCCTTTCCCAACCTCGAAATTAGTGGCAATGATTTTGAATATTATACATAATATGCATTTGTTGGTTTAGATGAAACGAGAGGAAAACAGACGTCTAACATATCGTTTGTGAATTGTGACACACACACACACAAACACTTTATCAATAGTTATATAGATACGTCGCGTCGTGATATTAATATTACGTTGATGTAATATATAACACAAAGAAACGACAATATAGTAAATATATATTAGCATACACATTACATACGTAGTATTACTGCGAATATATATTATATTATATAATATCATGGTTGAATAATTATCATTATACGATCATACACAATATTAATATAATAATGCATTATGCAGTTATGCGTATAATTAACTTCAGGTAGCTATTCAAATACATCGGTGTATACTAATATTGCAGTAAATAGGTACCTATATCATTTACAGTAACTACGCCCAAACATAATTATTTCCATAGTGGCTAAAAAGTTAATTTGAAAAATTTGAACCATAGCTTTCAACCTTAAGTTCCCACCCTAACTCGCCGAACTTCTTCAAAAATTACAAAATTATAAGCGATAATTTAATTTTTGAATTGTTGACTAAAACAATAATATTTTTTTAAATCCTTATTCCCCTATCATCTACGTCTGAGCTTCACTAAACACGGATAGTATTAATATTTAATACTAAACATTGATCTTAACTTCTTAACTTCCCTTCTTGAACTACTAGATCCCCACCCGAGAATGATAAAATAATTATAATAATGCCAAAAACATTTTTATTTTAAATTTTTGATACACCAAAATAGTGGTATTGAATAAAATCTCTGTGGTGCTACCACCCCACCCGTGATCGCACATCTATAAGGCATGGGTAATTCCTATTATTAATATGTATATAATTATGTAAGATTTGATTTTATATAGATTATTATAAACACGAGTGGATAATTAATAAACGACTGCAGTGCGACTTACGAAATACGAAGCGCGTCTTGGCCGCGATTAGTTCTTCGGCTGCAAGATGTGTTGCGAAGGACACGAATTTTCTCTTGCGCTATGCACCGCACGTTTACGCTTGTAGTGTAGATACTAATATTAAAGATCTGTACAATAATTCAGCGTGCTGACATGTCATGTGTCGGCTTTGCGCGACGGAAAAAAACCAATCGTAAACTCGTGCGAAAAAAAAAAACACGTGATCGAAACGATTTTATTGCCGTTGCTCGCGCTTACAGAACATATTTTATCATCGGAAGAATATAATAACAATAACAATAATAGTAATAGCTTACTGCGCGTATAACCGGCGGTGAAATTCGGCGGAAATAAAAAACGTATTTACGTGTATATAACGCGAGTACGGACGACGCGCGCGTTGACGGCCGTGTTCTCAGACCGACGGCGGTCAAACGTTTAAAAAACGAAAAACGTCCACACGCCGCCGCCACTACCGCCGAGCGCGCCGCCGATACGCGCAAGAAATGTCGACGGCGGCGGCGGCGGCGGTTCGTTCTGGCGGGGAAAAAGAGAGGAAAATAAAAAAACGGTTCATTGGCGGAAGTTTTGTCGCGATCGGCCGCGCACCGACATACAATTATGTGTACTCATACCTATCTGCGGTTCGTACTTAACTGCAGGTTCGTTTTTCTGCCTTCTGCAGCAGTTATTGTGTCATTGAAATGACATTATTGTCTGCCCGCCGTATGCCTTGCGCCGTATAAACCGGGTTTCATCTATTCCTCTCCCCCCCCCCCCCAAACATCTTTCCTACACGGAAAACCCACAGTCCTACAACTTTTCCGTCGCGGATTTAATATTACAAAAAAATTATATCCCATCACATGCCGCATGTGTTATAAATATACTATATGTACTTTTTAAATCAATGTATCTTTCTTTCTCTTTCTTTGTCCTTTGAAGATTCGAAAAGTATTGGACTGTTTTCAAAAATAAAGTTATATCAATAGATTCCCCGAAACTCGGAACATGATTTTAGTTTATTTTTTCAATCCATTTATAAGTTGTTACAGGATGGACCACATATGAATTTAATTTTCCCTCGCGAAAATCGTATATTTTTTTTTACTCATTTAAATGGTTGCCATCAGTTACGGATTGTATTACTGTTATAATCGTTATAATTCATTAGAATAAATAAAGCATACAAAATGTTTACAATTTATATTTATTTTTTTTTTAATGTTAAAAGTTAAAGTCAAATACTAGTTTATGAATATACCTAATTACAATGATTGCTTTTTGGAGTTTTTAACATATTTTTAATGTAAACAAATAAAGATGAATATCGATCTTAACGATATTATAGATTAGATCAGTTTTTTTTAAGCATTTGTTTAATTCGTCTCAAATGTTTGGTGTTTATATTTCAACTGAAGCAAAACGGAAAACGATATAAAGATAGATTAATTTTAACTTGGGTAAAATCGGATTACATGACTAATACCCGTTTTAAAATAATTATATAGATATAAGCAATACTAATAGCTTTTATTTCAGTATTGATCATACGTCTTCATCAGCCGATAATAAGATATACTCTTTGCATTTACTTATTAGTTATTAACTCCTAATTATTTCAATTAACAATTTTTTGAATCTTAAAATCGTATCACACTTGCAAATACGTTATAAAATAGTATTACAATGTCATTTAATTGTATAAAATAAATCCACAAGTTATGATAGATTATATTATAAAATATTTAGTAATTGTCACTCATCATCGATTTACTTATTTGATTTGATATTCAAGAATTGAATAAAAGTATCTTTTTCAAATACCTATATCATTATATATATATTTATTTATATTATATAGGTAATATACAGAACAGCATTATGCCTATGGGTATATTGGGTACATAAAAGGTGTAGTTAGATAAAAAATTTGGAAATTGCCTATTTAAATTTTGAAATCATTTCTACCTATATGCAGGTGGTTCAAAAACACGCAATTTATTTCGTCTCACGAAAAAAAAAACACGAATAACATACACAAGATACGATTTTGTATCATATATGAACAGTAATGTAGTTGACACATAATAATATACAATATTTACTATATTATATGGTACATTTCATTTTATAGGAAGTAGGGAACTAGGGACACATTAGAGTGTATTAAAAATATGTTCGTTGTCAGATTGTGTTTATGTATGCAGTGTCAAAAACGTTTATCCAAAACACGCGTTGTATCAAGCCTACAATATGACTTACAACAGTGGTGTATATACTCAAAAGTATACGACGCACATGAAAAGAACGGTACGGGCGACAAAAAGTAAAAAAAAAACTAAAATGTTATCTTCAGTTTCTTTTGCGTGTCAAAACTTTAACTATCCATAAATCAATCAAATAAAAATAAAATGATAAAACTAAAAACGAAGAACTCTATATAAAGAAACTATATATATAAAATATTCATATTTAACGATCGTATATCGCATTTGGATAGTATGGGTATATAAAAGGTAAGGTAAAATATACGGATATAGTTACCCATTTAATCACTGTAATTATTGAATGTTTCCAATTATTTAGTTTGTTAAAAATTAATTCTGAGAATTTACTATTATACTATGCATATAAAATGTCGAAGATACATTGAAAGGAATCGCATAAAATATTTATTCACACCACTCGTCAACAACCCGACTAGCCAGAACTATTTGCGTATATTTTTTTACTCACAACAATTTACCTATATAGTTATTTTACCTACTATTGCAGGTTCTCCCATCTCGTTGCAGTCTTATTTATTTTCCAAATACGTAGAACACATATTAATACTATTATTAGACTACTCAAAATTTTACCAAGTATGTAAATATTATAATGATATTCTCTAATGTAAAATAAAAAATTCTGATTTCTTATTTGCATGTCTTGTATATATGACATCAGAACGTAGAACTTAAAGTATATACATAATACGTATACGCATACATTATGAATGATTATGATATACATATACATGCAGATAAGTCAATGAAATCGTACCAATTACAAAATTATGCTAAGAAAAATACGAAAAAAAAATGAGATTTCCGTTATCAAAAACTGTATTACATATTTAAAAAAACGTTTACGAGTTGAAATATTAAAAATTATTAACGTTTATACAATCATACAAATATTTTATTTTAATGAATATATAGTAAAGTTGAAAAATTGACTAAATTTATTCTGTAACCGGAAGTAGTAGATGGTAGTCATTAGATAGTTATTTTGTCATCCATGCATATAAGAATTCGAAGAAAACGATTGTTTTTTCGTAAAATTCAGTAGGAGAAATAATGAATTGGACTAAGAGCTTTTGATTCGAAAAAGGTTTGCAATACCCTGTCAGTCTATTAAAATTCCGGGCTAATACACCACGTTATCACTGTATTTATATCATAAATCAAACAATGAATAAATTATAAGATAAGTGATTGGGACATAAATTATAAACTTTACTTCAACGTTTTACGTTTTATATGCGGTTTTAAATGTAATACTAATACCTAAGAAATTATAATATTAGAAGTATATAAATAAAATAAAAATCTATCATTTATTTCAACTGAATAATTAATTATGTAATTTCAGGTTTTAGAATCCAGATTGCAATATTATTATATTATTCAGTATTATATATGTTTCTGATGACCGAAATGTTGAATTAATCAGGAAATTAAAATGTTTATTTATTTAATAATTAAATAACTTAATTATTTGTTGACCATAATAAAAACATTTTCAAAAAAAAAACCTTGATATTACCACAGTCAAATTTTAAACAAAACAAACCTCTGAAGTCAAGACCTTGTACATTGAATTCATAAGTAATTTTTAAATAACTATTAAATAAATGAAATAAAATTTTGATTTATTAACTGCGATGTAATGCTCAATCGTTACATTAAAAGATAGTGCTCGATCCTCGATCGAGTTCTATGACGTCCAAAATTGATGTAGAATACTGTATTTGCTCGTATCGAGTATAGGTAAAAACTATAAAATATTATTTATTAACTTATTAGTTATTGGCTTTGACTAGGTATTATGGCATCGCCCATCGCCATGTAGTATGCACTATCGCAATACCGTCCACCACTGAACACAAATAGTTCAAGTTTAAAACGTGATTTCAAACAAATAAAAAAATGTGGGAAATGGTCAAGGACATGTGTATTTAAAACAAGTTTTTTATTAAAAATAATACAAATTGTAAGAAAAACGTTCTCGGGACACTAAAATCAATGTAAGCAACAATAATATGCATCCAACATTAATATTATTTATGATGGGCTATTCGCCAGCAGTTGGCATAAAACTTTAGCATAATTAGCCAAGGATGAAAAAAAACAACAGATTTATCCGAAAAAATAATCAAATACATCAGACTTTTAATGTTCGTTTCTGGAACTTTCGGATATACTCAAAGACGTAAGCATAAAATACGAGATAAAATATTAATTGTATATAATAATAAATAGAGATTTAAACTCCTAACAAACTAGCAAAACCAAAATGCTAATAAAGAAAAGAACATTTTGAAAGAGTGTAAATACATAACGTTTAGGTATAGTAAAGTACGTATTTTAAACTTGATGACAATGAATTATACTTAGACTTAAATAATTTCTACGATTCTCACTTAACGACTTGTTTCAATTGTTTTTTCTGTTGAATGTGGATAATTAATGAATATACACAAAATGTATACTGTATAGTTTAAAAATATAAGCTTATAATTTTTAATAACAATATAGATATACTAACAAATATATTTTCTATACCCTTTCAATATTGTGTGTTTCAGAATAACGCAATTAAAAGTAGAGCAAAAATTAATAGGTTGTATGTGGTACATATAACTAAGCCCTCATAATAAATTTTTTTTGTATCTTAAGACTTATTACAAAGTATTAATTCTACTATGAGGTTGAGTACAAGATTCTCATTAAAAAATTGGTACTATGTCGTTTTTTACGTTTTTGGCACTATTATGATGCTTCAAACAAGAATATACTCGTATGACAAAAACTCAACTCAATAGTACATTAGTCTAGTAATTATGTTAATTAAATTTAAGTTAGCATAAGTCACCATAATATTTATGTTTTATTTATTTTAACAGTTCCCGGGAGGGAGGGGGTTAGATCAAGAAGTAATTATTTTCATTCTTATTTTATTAGCAGGGTCATTAATAAACTTAGGGCTTAATTTTATATTTAAATTTCTGAATAAGTAAATATTGTTGAACATTTGTTATCAATTTTGTGTAATCAAAAAGAATTTATACATATTACATATCAGAGATTTCTATTTTCTCGTTGACAGTCTACGTTTTGTGCTTTTTTAATCTTAAATTATTCCATCCTCGCATATCATGTCTACACTTAAATATTTATCTATATATTGTATATTATATAAAGCCAGAATTATAAAAAAATATATATTATTAGATTGCTTTTAGGTTTTAATACAGCGTTTAATATTATATTGTT